GCTGAACCTGGTTTGTACTCAGAAAAGCTTTAAAATGACACTACCGAATGCTTCCCTTTTCCATGTGAATGAAAAACAGGCAGAATGGTAATATGTTTTGTCACAAACTTGGTTTACCAGAAAGACAGCTGAAAACATCAGATTAGTATCGGTTTATGAGATTTGGATTCATGGGTTGTACATGTTAGCTGAACACATCTGTATGTTTAAGTTTATATTTATCCCAGCTTTAGCGGACTTTCTTGGCAGTAGGATTTAGCTTGGTTTAAAGCAATTGCATAAAACATACGTACCAGCTCAGACTCGTACCATGTATAAATCAAGCGAAGATGGAGTTGCATTCAAGATGGTAAAACATCAAAAATTAAACTGCATGGATTGATTGCAGCAGGGAAGAATTTGAAGACAGATGTGCTTAATGCAGATACTGAGTTTTCCTCTCTATTTGGATTAAAGGTTTTCCTTTTAATTAGTTTGATTGTTAGGTTTCTTCTTTTGCAATTGTTTCCTATTGTCCTGAAAAAGACTCTGAGAAAAAGGATGCAGAATTTTTACTTACCTTGTTCCATCATCTCCAGAAGGCCTTTCTTAATGAGCTCATCCCGACCTTGTCGTGCTGTCATCTTCTTCTCCAGCACTGCATGAAGTAACAGTAACGTAACAGCACCAGTTAACAACAGAGTATTCATATAATGGTGTGAGAAAGATGCACTGTGGAAATTCCCTCTAGTCTCAACTGCTGTGTGCTTGGAAAGAACTGCAAGGACTTTGTTTTGGGGCGCATGGACTGGTCAGCCTGTTTGTGCATTTTCCTTTGTTAAAAGAGCTGTAAAATCACCCACATGTAGAGCTGAGATTTATGATCCAACCTACTGCCTGATCTCACTGAGTGTGGAGTAACGGGGATATTAGAGCCTTCATGTTGTTTAATACGGCGCGTTGGGGCTGCCTCAGGAAGCGGTGTCCTTTACTGTGACACTCCACAGGACATCAGGGCAAGAGCAGGGAATTGCTCCAGCCTATCTTAGGAAAAGGCGAGTGAGTTTGTCTCCTTACTGATCTCCTGGGACATCCCTGGAGACTAGCGAGAGCGTGCAGTGCTGTGTGCTGGGCTCCTTTCCCGCAGAGACAGCTGCTTCAGGGAAGGCATTTTACATGCTGGAGCTCCCTCCTGTCACTTTTCATAATGTTGCTGTGACCTACATAATCTTCACCCCAAATAAAAGGGGTGACGATACTTGGGGCCATAAATGTAGCCTATTTTGGAGAAGGGACAGCCCATGAAAAGCAGTCTGTGTTGAGGTTTGTCTTCACTCTCATATTTTGACTTTTTCTTCTAAACATACTATATGGTATTATATAGGAAGTCAGCCTATATGGGCTCTTTCTAGCCTTAAACATTATTAATCTGTAACATGCTGAAATCTCTGAATTAGGTTTAGATCAGGTCACCATTAACATTTCCTACGTAAGCAAATTTCGCCCAAGCCAAGCTTTGCTCTGTGCAGCATCATTCTCTTGTTCTCATCCTACCTGCAGATGTCTGCTTTAGCTTCTCGTTTTTCTTTTTCCGCCACTTCCATGGTTTGAAGATCCTGCCCAGTGTCGCCAGTTTGCTGTTCCTCCTCACTGGCGGAGTTCGAATCCCTGAGACCAAGTAGTCAGAACGCATTGCAGGGGACTGCTCCATCTCATCTGAGAGGGGAAGAGAGAGGAAAGCCAGCTGTTAGCCAAAATGCTTCAGCATAGACTTAAAAAGGGCAGGCAAATGGAGGCTCACCAGCTAACACACATGCAGTCCAGTCACCAATATAAGCAAAGTTTCTTTTTGAAAGGAAGTCCCTGCGTTGCTGGAGCCGGCGGCCAGGCTGAGGGACACCAGTCAGAGAGGCGTTCAACCTCCCTGTGCCAGCCCGGTGCTCCTACCAGCGGCTCTCCTGACCCCGCTCTTGCACAGTACCTGTCTGGATGCCAAATATTTCAGTATCTGCACTGCTGCGGTGCCTCACGGATTAATCAGGGCTATTAGGCCCATAGAGGGGGGGATGTGCCGAATTTGTACGCCCTATGCTTATTCCATCGCTTTCCTACCTTTGTCCATGCCTGGGACTCACCAAGGTAATGGTGTTACTCTCCCTCCCAAGGGCTGCGTGTAACTGCATTACAGCCTTCTGCAAGGCGGAGAGCTGAGAGTTCCCGAGAGCTTTCATAAGAGCAGTAGAAATTTAACACATCTGTAAATTGTAAATCAGGCCCATGCGGCCTCCAGTTAATCACGTAAATGTAATGTTCATTTAGAAAAATTTAGACCTTTATGAAAAGCTGAGAGGAAGTGTGAGAAAGCTCAGGTCCCGTCTGAATTCCCAGCTTCCAGTTCTGTTCTCAGGCCACAGGATATTGCTGCCTTTTAAATGAACTCTTTTCACATAAGCTAACACAGAACACACTGACTGGTGTGAGCTAATGCAAAGCTTTTATATAAGAATAATTTGTTTGATATGTGCTACGTAAGTAAAATGTTAGAACTGTCGTGCAAATTTATTCCTTGGAGCTAAGGGGAAAATTCTTTCCCTTTTGTCCAGCCAAGCCACAGGAATTAAAAGATAATGCTTCAGCTGGAAAAGCAATTTAGGTTTTTTTAATATTTTGTCTTGAAAATACGCTGTAAGTTTTGCTTATAGACAAGTCTTGCACAAAACAATACATACTGGCTATTCACAGTCGTGTGCTAGCCAGTACCATGGAAGAAAGTAGCACAGTTCCATAAATGGGGTTATTGATGTCTTTACTGAGATTTGTATTTGAGCACCAATACAGTGATTGTTAAAAGAAAGCTGCCATCAGTCATCAGACGCGTTACATGAATAAAAACTGAATGGCAATTGTATTTTTTTCAACAATCAGTTATGATTTAAATGAGCGATGTGGAGCTATGAACATATGTACGTTTCCAAGTAATTTCTCTCTGGAACAACATTTATCATAAATTACTTTATAACTGCAAGATAAAAACTATACAGCATCTTCTAGGCTTTGTTTTTAAGTTAACAGGGTGAAAATGCTTAAATCACAGCATGGAGGTGGGGATTTCCAAGTAAACAGGAAACAAATTTTGGAAGATTATTAAACACAGCAGGGGAATGAACACATTCCTCCTCTTCCATTTAATTTTGAAAATACTGGTAATAGAGATGAATCATTCAGTGAAGACAAACTAAAAGCTTGGCCATGTGAACTATCAGAACAGAGAACAGAGAACAGAGAAAAGGCTGTAACAATCCCCCCCACACACATTGTGTATGCCCAGTGAATTTCTCTTTCCATGTACTGAATTTAGAGCATCTTTGTCTCGTTCCACAGAGTTTATCTTGGTGTTTAACTTAGATTTAACATGTATGTAAAAATACATTTTTGCTTTTGAAAGAATGGTGTCTACCCAAGGTGATATTTACCATTTACAGTTTGGAGGTCAATAGTGAGTTGAGAGCAGCAACTAGCGAGGAGCCTAGCGCAGAAGGAGGGCAGTAGCCTACAGACCGCAGCTGGAGTGCCAAGATATCACGCTCCTTTCCTAACTGTGTATTCGAAAATGAGAAGTATCGCAGAAATAAGCTTTGAAGAAGTAGAGCTGCTCTCGATTACAGAGATGGCAATGAGAATGGAAAATGGCAGGGAAGATCTGCTATTAATTTGCTGTTACGATTACTTTAAAGCTGTAATAGAAGCCTCAGGAAATACCATTTGGCCATTTCTTGTGACATCCCTCGAGTGGGAATGGAAATGTTCACAAAATTAGCTCATCTCAGAAGAGCTGTAGATCAGACTGTAAATCAGACCGTTGTCCCTAGAAGCTCCAATGGAGTAGGACAGCCTCAGCTCAGCCGTCCCTGGGCCTTGCTTGTGAGACTGCACTGCTGCTCAAGCACTTCCGACCATTCCAGGAATTGCCAAAGCATGTAAGTGGAGATTAAATAAAGAGCTGATTTAAAGCATTACCTTGGCAAGTTACTGATCCTACTGCATTTCATTCAGGATATAGGTGTCTGCAAAGTGGTTTAGGCATCATCCGCGTTTTGTTTAACACTGGTAGCATGAGATGATTTTACCTTGTTTGCCGGATAGCAGGGGATGTAGACAGAACCAGGAAGTCGTTCAAACCCACACCTATGTGTCTCTAGCAATGCTTATTGTCCCAGATATTCCCCTAAGAAAGAGAATGGGGAGATACCGCAAAGGCACTAAGAATTCCCTAAGTGCCCTGTAGTGATCGGTGCTTCTGTAGTTCCTACCAACCCTGTCAGCTGGGTTTCTTCCAGCCACTTCTGCCCTCTTGGGTGTGGAAATGTAAGGATTTTACCCTGAGACTTTGGTTACAGATTAAATACAGATAGAACTCAAATGTCAAAGAAGGAATAGTAGCTAAAACAAATGTTCCAGTGGAGGTTTTCGTGGGCTTTTTAACTTTATTAATGTTTCTCATATGGTACAGACAGTTCTTAAGCAAATGGTTTTATCACCTGGTACATTCTCACCATATGCAGTTCCTACACTGTGCGTTTGGAGAGATGGACACAAATAAAAATAGACAGAGACACAGTAAGACAGATGTCCTGAAGTCATAAATAACAAGGAAATGGTCTCACTGGCAGTAAGAATCACAAGAAAGCCCTTGGAGCTCCTGATTTCCAGTCAGTTCGTTTTTTTCTTGGTTGTGGGTTGGCTGCTTGGGAGATAAGAAGCTGACAGCACAAAAAGCAGTTCCCACATACAGCAATGAATACTGAAGGAGAAGGCACGCCTAAATAGCAGCCAGCTCCTGCAGCCAACAAGCATCCAACACTTGCCAACCCTCCAACCACTCTGTGAAATATTCAGCACATTTTTTTTAATCTGCAGTCAATATTTTAATTATGCTAACTGTTCTGTGGAATAATGCAGTTATTTCTCCCAGAGCCTTGTAGCCTGGGGCCAGGCCATGCAATTACATAGAGGATGTCTGCAAAATGTAAACAGCCAAGAGCCAAATCAAGGCTCTCCAAATCAGCAGGGAGAAACGAGCAGCTGAGCAACAGCTTAACCAGCTGTGTAATAGAGAAGGATGAGGGACAGTGGTTATACGGGGTCAGGCAAGCACCAGCTTAACCCACACCACAGCAGCCTAACCCTACCCGGCACAGGGAGGCCGGGCTCTGCTTGGCCATTGCTGCTGAGACAGAGCAATTGGTCCCACACTGTCCCACAAGGAGACAGTCATCAGCCCTGTGGGACCGGAGGATTTTGCTCTGACCGACGCTTGTTGGCTGTTTCTATTGAAATTACTTTCAAGTCCCTTTGTCTATTGTGGGCAAAGGCTTCTGTCCTGGAGCTCCAGATCCAAACCAAACTCCTCATATATCACACAGTTGTCATCTGCTCTGTGTGTGTCAAAAGGGTGGAGATGAATGTGGCTGTGCCCCTGCTGCTGATGCTGGGGACGTGCTGCTTACAGTGCTAGCCAGGGCAACTTCTAGAGCTCCCAACGGTGGTCAGGAGTGCGAATGGTTCCATGTCTGAGACATCTCAAATCAGATGAGGGGAGATGTTCTGACCTGACGGGTATTGCTCTGCGGTACTGCTCTGGGCTGCAGAATAAACCAGGCAACAGAGAGGAAGGAAACAAACCATAATATTAATCACATTTGGCTGTAGGGTCTGACCCCTCAGAAAGTGTGAGCACCTGCAGCTTCTGTTTACATCAGCAGCAGTCCTGGTTGATCAGCGTTTCTGAAAAATGCCCCACTGCTTCCTTCTTTAAAATATTGTGGTGACTACTTTTCCCGTTAGTCCCTTCTCTATAGGAATTGTGCATGGATCGCGCAGTTTGTCTGTACATTGAAGCTTTCCCATTTACAGATATCAAGTCCTGACTCTATCCCATCCAGCCTCCCACAGAAGTGGGGCAGGTTTGCTGGGAGTACGGTGAAGTTTGTGTCCTGGATGTGTGATGGAAGAGTGCCTTATGCCTCCCCATAGCCTTCACTTATACAGCACATGTGTTAGGTGCTGAGACAATCATGTCTGGGTGATAATGGTGTTGTCAGACTGAGCACTGGGTTCGGTCAGTTGGGTCTATCTTCTCGGGGTTTTCATGATGAGCCAAAGAGTCTGTAGCTCGGTGCCTGGGTTGCTGATGATAGCAACTGTGGGCTGCGCTCCGCAGGCTGCTGTATGGCACTCGGGAACATCAGGAATGCAGAGCCAAGTTACACTGACCTTGCCATGGAGAGAGGCTGTGAGACATGGGACGCCCTCTCGTGAATACGCAAATTGCAGCAAGAAGTTTATGGGAGGATGAAGGATGCTGAATTTTAATGTGCTGGGAGTTTTGGTAACTTAAATTCATGGTAATGGAAGTTGTGCCTTGCTAAATCCTCTGTGTACACTGTGAGGAGAAGGACCACTGAAAAATCTGCAACCTGCAGGCAGTTTAAAAATAACACAGCAGACAAGAGCTGCAGGCAAATCTGTAAGGCAGGCGTGCTCTGTTTTCTGATGAACTGGTTTGTAATGCAGCTCTGCATGTTCCCCCCTTTATTGTCATTGCATCTGTCTTTGCAACTCAGATACAGAGTTAAAAAAGGAAAAAAGGTTCCCCTTGGTCCACTGCAGAGGGTAGAGATGGTGAGTGGAATCAAAATGACCTTTTCAGCTTTTGGT